CTCTGGAGAAGGACCAGACCAACTGAGTCACGTGGAAAGGGCACTCCGACCTGTTGAGCTGCCCGCAGGCTGTGCGGTGTGCTCCAGATGCGCAGCTTGCCTGCAGGCTGTGCGGTGTGCTCCAGACGGCCAGCATTCTTGAGCTGTCACCCTGCTGAGGTGGGTCTTCGTGAAGCAGCTGTCTTTGAGTCATTGCTGCTCCTCTAAGTAATCCCAGTAAAACTCATTGGTTCACCATGTTGTACTCTGGCGGTATCTTCGCCTTGTGTACCGTGGGATCCTAACCTGGAGTGAGTAACGTTTGTTCGCATCTCCCCAGGATTAGGATAATACAACTGTAGTGGTTTGAAAGAAAATGACCCCAGAGAGAATGGCACTACAAGGCGGTGTGGCCTTGTTGGAGGAAGTGTGTCACTGTGGGGGTGGGCTTTTTCTCAAGCTTTACTCTGTCTGACAGTCACTGGACTTCCTGCTGCCTGAGTCAAGATGTAGCACTCTCAGCTCCAGCATCACATCTGCCTGTACGCTGCCATGCTCCCGGACATGATCACAATGAACTGAACCTCCATTAAATGTTTTCCTTATAAGAGTTGCCGTGGAGGTCTCTCAGCTTCCCGAATGCTGGGGGACCCTGTCATGACAGAATTAATAAAATCCTCATGCTTTTGCATCGAAAAAAAAAAAAAGAGTTGCCATGGTCATGGTGTCTCTGCTCAGCAATAGTAAACCTTAACTAAGACCGTATTTCCACCCCAATGTCCTCCACCCAGTCTATACTAGTCAAGGTTACTTCTGAGGGTTTGCCCATCCCTGCCCTCTCTTTTGTTTTTGTTATTTGAGACAGGGTCACTATGTAGCCTTGGCTGGCCAGGACCTCACAAAGTAGACTAGATGGTCTCCAACTCATAGAAATCAGTCTGTGTGATGGAGTTAAAAGTGTGAGCTCAGTCCCTTCATTTGCACAAAGGAGGCAATCCCTGCCTCACCCAGTAGCTAGAGGACTAAAGGAGAAGGCTGAGAAACTATGCATCCAGGCTGCTAAAAACTGAGTTTTCCCACAGCTGTCCAGAGTACTTGTGACTCCTAGAGGTGTGTGAAGACACTGCTTTTTAAATTAACAGAATGCAGAATTCCTGGGTCTGTGGACCTCCATGTGTGGAGGTCAGAATCAGCCACATCACCTAGGAAACTGATGGATGTAAACATGCCGGCACCATGCCAGGAACTTCAATCAGGCTACAGAGCATTGAGCTCACAGCAGTCAGTGCTCAGTAAGCCTTCAGGTAATCACTGTTTGCATTCCGAGACACACACAGGGAGAGAGTTATACACATATGAGAGGGATGTGTGTTTGCACACATACACACACTCATGGAGGCTAGATGTCTTCCTCTATTGCTCGACTCTCTTTCTCTCTCTCTCTTTCTTTTGTTAGGGTAATGTATCACTAAATGGCCCTAGCTGACCTGGAACTTGACATGTAAACCAGCTTAGCCTCAAACTCAGAGATCTGCTATCTCCATCCCAAGAGCTGGGATCAAAGGCATGCTACACCATATCCAGATCATCATCTTTTCTCTTTTCTTTCCTCTCCTTTCCTTCCTTCCTTCCTTCCTTTAATAAGGGGGAGCCAGACATGGAAGCATGTGCAGAAACAGGCAGCTCTCTGAGGCTTCAAGGCCAGTCTGGTCTACATAGTGGGTTTCAGGCCAGCCAGAGCTACAAAATGAGACTCCAACTCAATAAAATAAAATAAGGTAGAGAGCAACTGAGGACAACACCTACTATTTTTCTCTGATCTCCAAACACATGCACGCACACGGATGAGTACATATACAAAAATATCCTTGCAGTCACATATACATGGAAAACAGCGCACACACACACACACGCACACACACACACACGCACACACCAAAAAAGCCCTTACAATGTTTTAAGTACATTTACTGTTTTGTGTTGGGCCACATTCATAACTATTCTCGCACTGACTGACTCTTAGACACACCTTTAAATAATGTTCCCTCCTCAGGACTTCTTAGCCTCATCTGAGTCTGAGTCACTCCGACACCCTGCCCCCTGCTTGCTGTACACCAGCTGATCCAATGGACAGGGCTCTGCTTCAGAAGCTCAAGTGCAGAGTCATCACAAAAGGAGGTGTCCAGCCATCCTGAGTCTCCTGGAGATGCTGGTGTATCAGTGCTGGGCAGCCCAACAGAGCGGACTGTCTGCTGGAGAAGTCTAGAAGGTAGACCATGGCATGGCCAGAGCCAGGTTGCTGTGCTACCTGTGTGTATGGAAGGTGGTGCAGTTGCAAAGAATGTGTTTTGAGCATGACTGGCAGATTCTTAGCTGTTTCTCGGTGGCCACAGTTTCTGTCCCATGCCGTTTCCCTTCCAGTGCTGAGTTTATAAGGTTGTCAATCATACAGTCCCAGTCACTAGGAGAATCACACGGATTCCCTTCTGTGACTGCCCCGCACTTCTCCGAGTCCAGCTGCTGCCCTCAGCAGTGGCCAAAGGCCTCTGCCAGTCTCTTTGGCACCGCGTCAGCCTACTCTAAGAAGCTAAGCAGCCTTCTTCTGCTTGGCCTTCCTAAAGCCTTGAAGACATGCTTGTTTACAGTACAGGGCCTATTCTTAATCGCCTCTATAGGGCTGGTACCTGGGGGAGTCGAAAGCATGTGCTTTTGTTTCAGCCAGGGGACGGGGACAGGGGGGGGGGGGGGGGGGGGGGGGGGGGGGGGGGGGGGGGGGGGGGGGGGGGGGCGCAAACAACATGTCAGGAGAAGTGGCACTTTCTGTTCTTGCAGAGGTGCAGAGGACTTGGGTTTAGCTCCCAGCTGATGTGGGTTCACAGCTGACTATACCTCCAGTTTTAGGGGATCCAACACCTTTTTCTGGCAGTGTGGATGCTAGGCAACACACAGTATATATACATATGTGCAAACAAAACACATGCATATGATTAAAATAAATTAATCTTTTATCATTTTTCATTTATTTATTTTTTAGTGTTTACTTTTTTATTGAGCTCTACATTTTTTTTCTGCTCCCCTTCCTGCCTCTCCCCTCCCCTTCAACCCTCTCTCAAGGTCCCCATGCTCCTAATTTACTCAGGAGATCTTGTCTTTTTCTACTTCCCATGTAGATTAGATCCATGTATGTCTTTCTTAGAGTCCTCATTGTTGTCTAGGTTCTCTGGGATTGAGATTTGTAGGCTGATTTTCTTTGCTTTATGTTTAAAAACCACATATGAGTGAGTACATATGATAATTGTCTTTCTGGGTCTGGGCTAACTCACTCAAAATGATGTTTTTTTAAAAAAACTTTTTAAAAATACTATATATATATAATATTCTTTGTTCATGTATGCCTGCAGGCCAGAGAGGGCACCAGACCTCATTACAGATGTTGTGAGCCACCATGTGGTTGCTGGGAATTGAACTCAGGACCTCTAGAAGAGCAGGCAATGCTCTTAACTGCTGAGCCATCTCTCTAGCCCCCAAAATAATGTTTTCTAACTCCGTCCAGTTGCCTTCAAATTTCAAGATGTTGTTATTTTTTTCTGTTGTGCAGTACTCCATTGTGTAAATGAACATTTTCCTTATCCTGGGTGTGGTGGCATATACTCTTAATCCCAGCACTTGAGAGGCAGAGGCAGTCGGATCTCTGTGTTCAAATCCAGCCTGGTCTACAAAGTGAGTTTCAGGACAGTCAGGGCTACACAGAGAAACCCTGTCTTGAAAAACAAAAACAGGGGCTGGAGAAATGGCTCAGAGGTTAAGAGCACTGGCTGCTCTTCCAGAGGTCCTGAGTTCAATTCCCAGCAACCACATGGTGGCTCACAACCATCTGTACTGAGATCTGGCGCCCTCCTCTGGCGTGTGGGCATACATCGAGGCAGAATGTTGTATACATAATAAATAAATCTTTAAAAAAGAAAAGAAAAGAAAAACAAAAACAGCACAAAACAAAGGCTTGTATCAGAAAAGCATAAAGATGGACCTCATCTTACCACCTACGGGTCAGTATCCTTGGTCTTTCCCAGCACGCGACCCGACGTCCGGGGTCGGCTGTTCTGCTGGTTGATTCACACAAAGCACTCGGTTATCGCGTGAAGACACCAGCATCACTCCTGCTTTCCAGCCTTGTTCAGCCTCCCTGGAATTTCCCATTCTTGGCCCTTCACCTGCAGCGGAGACCCTAGCTGGGTGGTGGTCTCCTAAAGATGGACAGAGCGGGCCTGTAACTCCTAGGTGCTCCCAGTCCCTCCCCAGTGCCCCTGCAGGAGGGAGATCAATGGCCAGCCTAAGTGAATGTCAGAGACATCAGCAGTGGGGCCAGGCCCAGCTGTCTTCGTGGCCCTCACAGCTACTCTGAGCTCCTCTCACCAGCCAGGCGTGCCCTGCTCCCACACCAAGACACATGTCCCAGAGGTAGAAGTGGTGTGCCCTCTTTCCAGACACTGGTGTGTCACTGTGTCCCATCATAGAATTCTTTCTTTATTGGTGTGTGTGCGTGTTCGTGCGCGTGTGCCTGCGTGCACTTGCGAGCCTGTTGTAGCCCAGGCTGACCTAGAACTCTTGATCCTCCTGCTTCCACATCCCAAGTGCTGGGATCACAGGTGTTCTAGGCTTAGTGTGGAGCGCTGGTAGAACTTGATTAAGAGTAGAGAAAGAAAAGCTGGGCCGTGGTGGGATGCTCCCCGCCTTTAATCCCAGCACTCAAGAGAGGCAGGTGGATCTGAGGTCGAGTGAGTTCCAGGACAGGCTCCAAAACTACACAGAGAAACCCTGTCTCTCAAAAGAAAAAAAAAAAGAGGGAAAAGAAAGGAAAGAAACACGGTATCACATAGGGGACAACCTAAAGTTTCCCGTTGAGCTCTCCAAGTCTGAAGACAATCTTGGGAACAAAGGTGGCCAGGAGGGGGTAGAGGGTGGTGACCGGAAGCCACCGCTAGAGTCCTGCCCACTTCCTCTCCACCCAGTGTCTCCGGAGAGGAGAGACAGTAGGATCTCTGAAGGGTAGCTGATGCCCGAGTCCAAATCCTGACCTCAAGATTCTTTTGGAAGATGAGCAGAGCCAGACACCTGCCTTTTAAGGTTGCTACCTGGGCTAAAAGAAGCACCACGTTTTAAAGGAACCACAAGCAGCAGAAGCAATTTCCCAGTGAGTAGGAGATTGCGTTGGTTTGGGCTGCGGACATCCCAGATTGAAGCGCCTTGCTGCAGAGCGGAGGTTTTATTCTCAACGAGTAAAAAAAAGTAGGAGTGTGGACTGAGGGACATAACAGGGCTAAATGGGTCTCTCCCCTCCACCCGGGAACCCAGACAAGGGTCCTAGCAGAGGTGAAGAGTCCGGGGCCCTGGAATCCAGGGCTGGCGGGGGCTTTTCTTTCAGTCGTCCACCTGTATCTCTTCATCCGATAAATGGGGCTCAGAATTAGGTCCTGTAGGGCCAGGGTCAGGGCTTGAAACGCTGTCTGGCAGTGTCAGGTGGCACAGGACTCCCGGGGACAACGCGCATAGAGAGGCCACATCGGCGCGCATCTCCTCTACATCCCGCCTGAGCTTGGCGCGACGGTTCTGGAACCAAGTGACCACTTGGGCATTGGCCAAGCCCAGTCGCGCAGCCAGTCCGTCGCGCTCTGACGGTGCCAAGTACTTCTGGAAGACGAATCGCCGCTCCAGCTCCAGCACCTGCTGTGCAGTGAACGCTGTACGAGACTTGCGGCGTCTCCGGACACCGGCGCCAGAACCCGGCGGCGGCGCCTCTGGGGTGACTCTGCCTGCCAGGATGGGACGGAAATGTCAGTCTCCAGCTTTGGAGGAGCTGTGGTCTGGGTGGAAAAGCTAGGGTCGCAAGGCTCAAGCAGGTGTGGGGGAGGCTCAGCACCACGTTCCCTTCACACCGGGTCAGGTCAGGGATTCGAAGAGCAGCGGGCCTCTGGAAATGCTGGCGGACAGAGAAATGAGGTTGCTCACGCAGGGGAGTGGGTGGGATTGACCAGAGGAGATCTGGTGTAGGGATCAAGGCCGTTTGGAGAAGATCCTCTGACGCCTTTTGGAGTTCCAGGTAAGGTAAGGTAGTAAGTAGGTTAGAGGCTAGATTGAGGTAGGGTGACCCACAAGGCCTGGTGGCCATATAAAGCCGTCTGTTTATACATCCTTAAAAACATCTGCTCCCTTTCCGGGAGCCAAAAAGGGACGCAGTGGGAGCATGGGGAGGGAAGGGGGCAGAGAGGCGGTTCCTATGCCCAAAGCAGCTGCAAGGACCTTCTTGCACAGAGCTCTCTAGAAGGCCTCCGAAGCTTTCTGCCTAGTCCTAGCCCTCCCTGCCTTACTCATTTCTTGCCCAGAGCTCAAGCCTTTTGTCTCTTCCGCGGCCTTTCTCGGTCGCAATTGTCCCGCGTACAGCGAATGCACCAGCCCAAGCGGTCCCTAGATTCTTCCCAGCCTGGAGGTACCCCGCGGCGCTGGCGACCCCCTGGAGCAACTGCAAGGTCTAGGAATTAACGCTAGAGTCTTGCAGGCGGGAATGCAACTCCTGACACCTGGACAGAGCGCAGGGCTGGGTAAAAATAACCGCCCAGGGTTGAACAAAACTTTGTAACTAGGGACAAGAGAGAGCGAGACAGAGAGACAGAGACAGTAGAGACACAGAGAGAGACAGAGGAAGGAGAGAGAACTGAGTTCAAGCCCACGACCTTGTAGGCATTGTACCTTCAAAAGGCTGCAGAGCGCAGGGGTCATGGCCCAGGAATGTTTTACTTGTCAGCTCCTCCAGCGCACACAGCGGAGACGCGGGATCAGGGCTGGCCTCGGGAAGCTGTGGCGCAGAAGGTGCTCTGGGAATCATGCTCGGGCCTAGGATGTCTGCGATGCTGAAGGGTGTCCGGCGCTGGCGTCCAGAGTTCATGGCAAGCCGGGTTGTAACGATCCCGCCTCCCGCTGCTCTTGGCTCTACAACCTCCTTGGCCACCAGTGCTCAGCTTCCGATCTGGGCCCCCTGTCTCGGACCCGCCCCCTAGAGCTGGGTGGGAGCCCCATGTCCCCTCCTTCTGCACCCGCACCCCCCTCCAAAGCCCACAGTGAATCTGGAGCCCGTAGGTGTCCTGGCAGCCTTATTTCTTCTATAGGGTGGAGAGAAGCCAGTGATTTCTCTGTGCACGTTCAAACTGGGCTTTCTTTACTGGATTCTGCTTGCTGCTTGGCTCCCCACCCGCGGCTCTGGCTCATAAACTCCTGGGCAATAAAATTGCTTTCCCTGGCCCTGAGGGCTGGGGATTTGCAGAGTTCTTAGAAACAGGATCAGGGCTGATTGTGTTAGGCTCCTGGACTTTAGCTAGGAACTCAGTATCCTAACTTGGCCAAATCTAACACACCCAACCCTGGGGAAAGGTCTTAAAGAGAGCACGGTGGGTGGCTGGAAATGGTTTGGTACAGTGTGGGGGTCCAGGATCAAGACTTGGGAGAGCCTGGCCTAGTGGAATGACTGTCATAAAAAGATACCACAAGGAGTGGGGAAGGTGATTCTGCCTTGCTGTAGCCTAGAGGTCCCAGTAAATTAAAACACACCCAAAAAGCTTCCAGAGACCTGGACTGACACTAAGGTACCGGAGGGGCCCCTCGCTCCAGAGGATTGGTCTCCACAGAAAACCTGCTCTTCTTCCTGGTTTACCAGTGGGTCTGCCTTTGTCATTTTTTAAGCTCTCATAGTCCAGGTGTGGTGTCCCTGTGGGGTCATTCTCCAGGGAAGACTATTTGAAGAGCAGACACCACAGACCCAGCCAGAGCACGAAGCAGGCGGCACTGGCAACTTAGGAGGAAACTCTAAGATCTAGTCTGTTTGCTGTTGTTTGTATTCTCTGTCCTCTTCTCCCCCACGGGTATTCTCACCTGAGTTTGCCCTCCATGATCATCTTGAGTTGAAATAAGACAGTCAGGGACAATGAAGCTGGGTTAGTGAGGCTGGACTGGCCTGGGCTCTCTTTCTACTATAACAGCCTTGAATAGCAAAAGGCGAAACCTTATAGACATGGAGACTCAACTACTACCAACGGGCATGCCAATGTTCTTTTTAAATTGTTATTATTATTATCATTATCATTATTATTATTATTTTGGGTCAGGATCTCACTATGTAGATCCGGGACCTGGCTGTCCCGGAGCTTACAATATGTAGATTAGGCTGGTCTCAAACTTATCTGGGACTAAAGGTGTGTGCCATCACACGTGACTTTTAATTTTAATTAACATATTTATGATTGAGCTAAGGTCTCATTATGTAGCCCACGCTCTCTCAAACTCAAAGCAATCCTCCTGGCTTGGTCTTCTGTGAAGTGAGCCACTGTGCCAAGGCAAAACTAGTATTCTGTTTGTGTTTGTTTTGTTACAGTTAAATAAAAAACCAGAACAGCCCGCCCCCAACCGCAGGACTATTCCCCATGTCCCCTTTCCTGTAGGCCTCTCTGCATCTCCCATACTATTCAGCGCCACTGGTCTGTCCCCTAAGGCAAATGTAGCTTAGAGTTGTGGTGCCCCAAATAGGACTTAGGAGATCCTGGGGACCTGGGCCAAAGGCTCCTTGACAATAGGACACTCCCCTTGAAAGTGGGAGGGGTGTCTTCCCAATAAAGGGTTCCCTTTCCCTCTGATGACACCCCAACCTTCCGGCATTCAGATCCTCCTGGAAGCCTGGGGGATGTTCTCGAAGCTCAATGACGGGTCAGAGAGCAGAGCCAGGCCACGGGGAAAAGCTGAGCTGCTTCAGAACCTTGTTAATTGGTTATTAATGGGGGCGGAGTGGGGGGAGAGGGCAGTGGAGGGCCTCTGCTGCAGGCCTCAGTCCTCAGCACAGGCCCTGTGGTTTCACTTACTCTGCAATTAAAGCCGATCCCAGGAGGCAGCAGGAACTGCCCCACAGCATCCCAGTCCTGTCACCCAAAGACACTGCAACCTTGCCTCGCATGTCCATTACGTGGCTTTTATGTCCTTTTTACCTCTGTTCTCAATTACTCCCATGTGTGGGGGTGAGGAGTGTGGGGCTCTCCTGAGGGGCTTTGCCTTCCTCTCCTTCCATCTCTCCTGCCTGCCTCCTCCCTGCAGCAGATGGGGTCAGGTGATGGACGGGATAGTCCTCAGACACAAGTTTTGGGGGGAGGAAAGAGATGTGGAGAGGTTAAAGGGAAGATGTCCCGACATCAGAGGCTGACTAAGGCCACCCCAATGCCTAGGGACTAGTCCAGACTATCCTGGGGCCATGGAGGGGGGCTTCTCCTGGCTATGCATCTGGAACCTGAGCTGGGGAGAAACCGGATCCACAGAGGGGGCCCGAGGAGGGTGAGTGATTAATGAGGGACAGTAAGAGATTAAACCTGGGTTCTGGGCTTGAGAGGAGCGCTCAGCTATCTCTTAGACTTTTCCCTACAGGAATTGGGGAGCACAGAAACTTCCTGGTGCCCCGTTGTTTTGCACCCACAGGTCCAGCACTCTGGTGTCCTAAAGGATCCGGGATGTCTTCCCTGGCATCCTCAGGCAATTCTTCTGGTCTCCAGCCTTCTCTGTCTCCCCATTGTCCCCCTCACACTTCAGGGCCTTTTAAATCCCTCTCAGAGTAGAAGATGGAATGCTTACACTCAGACCTTCATTTCCTTCAGACACTCACCTGTCACCCAATGGTTCCCTCCACCCAGGCCACTTTAGCCCTAAGGTCTGTTCAGTAAATGACTGTCGCTCTCAGAGTGGCTCACCCCACAAAATCCCTTTGGATTCTGAGTGTAAAGCAAACTGGATTGGAGACAGCCCAGAATTGCCCTGTTGTGGCAGTGGACAAAGAACCTTATCAGAAGCCAGGTGTGGTGCACACCTTTAATCCCAGCAATGGGGAAGCAAAAGCAGGCAGATCTTGGAGTCTGAGGCCAGCCTGATCTACATAGTAAGTTCCAGGACAGCCAGAGCTACACAGTGGAACCCTGTCTCAACAACAACAAAAGTATTTTTAGAGGCTGGGGATATAGGTCAGTTGGCAGAGGACTTGCCTAGCACACACAAAAAGGAAAAGAAAAGCCAAGCAAGGTGTGTGGGAGAGGTCCCTCTATCTCTGGGTTGTTTTCTTTGGGGGGTTAGAGTTGAAACAGGGTCTTGTCGTATAGCCCAGAGTGGCCTAGAACCCACAACAATCCTCTTGCGCCTCAACCTCAGAACTGCTTGCACTCAGCCTGGGGCAGTTTCCTTTTTCAGACTGAGGACCTAAGTGGTAATCAGATCCCTTGGGTTCTGGAGTTGAGTTCTGTTGAGTTCTGCACCCCCTCCCCCAGAAGCATTGGTGTGATATCCCTAAATGAGATGCGAGTGACCTCGGGGTCAGGGTGGGAAAAGGAAAGTGAGTCTGCAGCTGCGCAACATCAGCAACCACAGGAGATGCACTGCAGCTGCCGCCGCCACTGCGCTGACAGGAAGAAGATTGCGAAGACCGCGGCAACCACCAGACCCCGTCGTTCCAGCCAGATCTAAACCTTAGCACCTTCAGCTGCTCCAGCCTCAAAGTAAAGACCACATCTCCAGGCATGGAAGCTCAGGATTCTTGAGCTGGGAACCCATAGTCTTCAGGCCCGACTTAATTAAAATAAAACAAAAGCATTTATTTAGCGCGCGGGAGTGGTGGTGGTGCACGGGGTTTCAAGGATACAAGCTGCTTTCTGACATTTTTCATTTTATTTAAAAAATTTTGCTTTGAAAATTTTATACTTTGTATTTTGATCATATTCAATCCCAATTCCTCAGATTTCTTTTTGCTGCTGAGCTGCTGCCAGATCCAACAGCAAGCACCCCGGAAGAATGCGGGCGGGGGTTGGGGGGACAACACACAGACCACAGTCTAACTCCCGCAGTGTTTGCTGCGCTTAGCAGCGCTCCTCCTTGCCCGTGCCTCCATAAGAGGTGCATAAACTCTCGAGGCGTGTGCTGTAGACTTTAGATTGAGACGTAATAGGGGAACACTATTGGGATATTTATCCCAACTTGCCCTGCTGTAGAGGTCAGCTTCTGGGAAGAGCTGTTTTGAATGGGGGAGGGGTCTCTGGAGGAGGTGAGTCTCTTGTCCACCCCTCCCCACACATACCCAGATTTATAGGAATGAGCCACAGATCAGGAATCTTTGGGGATGCCTCCCCACCCAGATTCATCGGAAACGGCTTTGTACTCCATCCAGGCTAGCCTAGAACTCCTGGTAATAAATACTCCTGCCTCAGCTTCCCCAGTGTTGGAATTTATAGGTGAGAGTTGCTTGGCCCAGCTCATCTTCTGCAACACTTTTGCTTTGGCCCTATATTCTCCATGTGTCCCAAGGACTTGGTAAGGTTTCCAGACAACGTAATGCAAAGTGGGAAAGTTCCAGATGCAAGCGTAGGGCGGCATGTATTGACTGACAGCCTTCTAACCTCAGCTGTATACAAGACCCGCTTGAGCTCCAGACTCAGCCTTCAGCCAGCAAGATTTAGGCTTTACACTTAGGAACCCCCAGACCTGACACTGTTTGCTCACTGCAGCTCATCCCAGACTGGGCAGCAGTCTGAGGTTTTCTTCACAATGGCCTGGATGTGTCTTTGGCCTCTTACTTCCTGGTTTCTGTTGTTTTAGTTTTTTTGGTTTTTGAACACAGTTTTTCTTTTTTGGATTTTCGAGACAAGGTTTCTCCATAGCTTTTGGTTCCTGTCCTGGAACTAGCTCTTGTAGACCAGGCTGGCCTCGAACTCACAGAGATCCACCTACTTCTGCCTCCCGAGTGCTGGGATTAAAGGAGTGCGCCACCACCGCCCGGCCACAGTTTCTTTTAGTAGCCCTACATGTCTCATAGACTAGGGAGGGCTCAAACTCAGAGATTTGCCTGCTTTTGCCTCCTGAGTGCTCCGAGTAGGTGTACCCCACCTATGCTTGTTGGCTTTTTTTTTTTTTCTTTTGGGTGTGGACATACTTTGACTCTTCCACATAGCTATCCATAGAATCAGGACACTGTGGGATTATTGCCAAAGTTCATCAAGTACCGTGGACTTTTAGAGACAAGATATGCCCTTGCCTGACCATGCCCCTCTTCTGTGAAGCTCCTCTTGGTGTCTTCCCCATCCCAGCTTCACTGACTCCCCTCCCCAAGGCTAGCTGCCTCTGTAGACAGCTGTCCTAGGCTCAGACTGCCCCACTAGATGCCATCTGTGGGGTCTTCTCTCTTGACTTTGGTTCCCAGGCTACAGAACCAAATGCAATTATTTGGATTTTTCCTTAAATATTGCTTTTCCTCCTCTTCAGCCCTGTAGGGGCCACAGGTTGTCCTCTCTTGACACGTTTGTGACATTTCCGCTGAGGCAGCTATCATATCCTGCAGCACACGAGGACAGCAAGAGCTGCCATGTAGACGGCCTACTCTCACCCAAAAGGCCAGATTTCAGTTCACGCGGGCCTCTGTCCAGCTCCTTCTAGAAGTCACAAAGGACATCCTGAGGACATCTGGTAGATACCAGGGAGACTGCTGAGCAACCAGAACACAGGCCAAAGCTTGAGTGTGCAGTGAGTAGCCAAGAAAGATGAAAAATGCTTTTTCAAAGCTTTTATTTCAAAAAATAAAGCCACAGTTAATTTCACATAAATATCTGGGAGGGGTGGGAGGGGGTGGAAGCAAGTCTGGCCCCTACCTCCTCTTCTCTTTCACACTGTATTGTAAAAGCAAAGGAGATGGCTACGGAAAGAAGGGAAAGAAAAAATGAGTGGGCTGTTAGCACCTGCAGGGTCCTCAACCCATTGCCCCCGGGCTTACCTTGCCAAACCAGCGGGACAGCCACAGCTGCTTCATTGTCATGTGATCAGGGAGAACCTCATTGTCAAAAAGGAGCTGTACCTAAGGGGGAGATGGGGCAGGGAAGAGACCTTGGTAGTACTGGGCAGAGACTGTTCCCTGGACTGTCCCCGAGTGTGTATGTATGTATGTATGTATGTGTGTGTGTGTGTGTATGTATGTATGTATCTATGTTCCTGTGTACACTGTGTTTATATCTGTGGAGGCCAGAGAACAGCTCTGGGTGTTGTTCCTCAGGCTCCATCCATCTTGTTTCTTTTCTGAGACAAGTTCTCTCACTGCCCTGGAACTCATCAATTAGGGTAAGGTTAGTCCCAGCCCCAGTACTGGGAATATAAATTTGCACTGCCTCACTAGGTTGGTTTTGGTTTAGGTCTGGGGACAGAACTCTGGCTTGCAAGGCAAGCGCTTTAGCTTTAGAGGCTAAGCTGTCTCACCAGAGCCTCCTCCCACTTTTTTTTTTTTTTTTTTTTTTATTTATTTCTGAAGACAAGGCCTTACTCTGGAGCCCAGACTTGCCTGGAATTCACTATATAGCCTAGGCTAACCTTGAACTTGAAGTAATCTCCCTGTCTCGGCTTCCTTCCAGACACAAGCCTCCAAACCGGACATGTCCCTCCCTTTCAGCCTCTTGTTCTTTCCTATAACACGGGTGTACTTACATGTTGTGGATTTAGCATTAGGCGGTGACACAGAACCCTTCGGAGATGGCGTACCTCAGCTCTAACAGAGCATCGGACATATTTGTTCTAGGAACAGTGAAGGGGGAAGAGAACAGGTGTGTGAGGAAGGGCTGTGGGGAGAGGCTCTCCTTCAAAGAGGCCCTCCCTTCAGCCTTTCTCACCTGAAGGACGTTTTTATTCTTGTCTTTGCCAGAACTGGACGGAAACAGAAACAAGTTAGAGGATTCCATTTTTCCTCTCTTCCCACCTAGATCCATAGCACACTCTTCAAGGGAACAGACACTCCCTCACCCCTTGGCCTTTCCGTAAGTCCCTTAGCCGATTCTGGGGCACCAGTAGTATCATTTCACGCAACCTCTGACCTGCCCCTCACCTCAGCCGCTCCAGGCATAGGCTCAGCTGTTCATCATAGCGGTAATAGTGGGCTTTAGAGTGGTCAAAACTGCTGAAAGGGAGGCCAAGGTTGCTCAGGGCTGGCTCTGAGAAAAAGTAGACATTGAGGAGGCTGGTACAGGTTCCACACCCCCTTCCCCCAGAGAGCCATCCTGGGCAGGGGAAATACCCTGAGAGCTTTATTTGCCTCCCCTTCTCCCCCAAATGACCACCAAGGACATACCTTCCCCACTGGGCTGGGTGACTCTGTCCAAGCCTCGGGACTGATAGAATTCCCGAATCCGTTTCTCTTCACCTAGGAGGGGGTGAAGGGCGGCCATGTTAATTCTCTTTGTCCTGGCTGTTGACCTCTTTATCTAGATGATTCCCAATAAGACTCTTGTTCACATCAAGCTGCCACCCAGCATGAGAGTCAGGAGGCCCCACGAACACAAGGTGGCCACTCACTGTCTTGCAAGCCTGGTACCAGTTTATAGACTATGTCCTGCATGACCCGATCCAGCTTGAGGTTGAGCAGCGGCTGCGTCTCGTGGATCTTGATGTTGCACATGGGGCAGTACTTGCTGGTCTGCAGGTACTTCACAATACAACTTTTGCAGACTGTAAGGAGAAACGCAGACGCTCAGGCCCTTTGGGACCCCGGCACATAGGGCGAGTGGGACAGAGAGCACAGAGGCTTGCAGCCAGCCTTGGTGAGGACAGGGCAGGATCCGGGACACTCACAGGTGTGGAGACACTCTGTGATGGTGGTGGCATCCACGAAGTAGCCCGCACACAGGCAGCAGACGATGTGTTCATTCAGGTCTTTGATCTTCACCCGGACCTCCTCCTGCGGACACACCCCCAGTCACTCCTCACTGGTCTCGCAAACCCACCCCACCTCACCTCCGCACTTCCCAGCTCCGGTTCCTGTCACTGGACTCAGGCCGTGGAAGGGGATGGGGGAAAATGAGCTCCCCCTCCGCCCAGCAGAGGGCTCCGCGCACAGCGGGTGCTCTCTTCTCCCGGACTCGCCCGACCCTCCTTTCCCTAGGGAGACCAAGCGCCGTCAGTGACACTAAACGCGCAGGCGTCCAAGTCCAGCGTTTGGCAACCGTGCAGGAATCGCGCGTGCGTACCGCGAACCCCACTGCTGCGCAGGCGCACTGGGCGCCTGTCCCGCCACCGCCCGTCCTCTCGCCCGCTTGGGTTCGCACAGCTAACGGACCCCAGCAGTCACCCCGCCGCCCCTGCACCTCGTTCCGTAGCGGGTCCATCTTGTACACTGACTGGAGCTGGTTCCGAAGCCTCATCGCGATCGCAATCTGGCCCCCCTGAGGAGACGCCATCTTAAAGGCTGATCCCAGCCCGCCACTTCCGGTACCGCCTGCGGGGCGGGACTTGTCTCATAGCAACGAGGGCCTCAAATTCTCTGGATTGGCTAATCTTCCGGCACACCCCGCCCTCACCCCTTCGCTCTTTCCCCGTGTGCTCACCTGAGCCCGCTGGCCCCCCCTCCCCGTGGTCATTAGGGAGTGGGGGGGGGGTCGTGGAGTAGGGTCCCGGTATTGCACGCTCCCACGGGCGTCCTTCCGACGGCGCGCACCCGATCTCTGGACCAACTTCAGGAGCTTGTGATAGATAGATAGCCTGTGCCCTCCGACCCCGAGGCCGTGAGATCGCCGCCCGCTGCTGCTCCGGAGAGTGGGAGTCCTGGGGCGCGACCTCGCCTGGGACCCCGGGTCCTCACCCTGCAGTGCGACCCTACCTAACCGGCTGCTGCGGCGTCCGCGCTGCGGAACTGCGTCCGGGTGGCGGGCCTTCTCCCCGCTCCACCATGGGAGTTTCTCCCGGCTTCGCGAAGTCTTGGAGAGGGTGCTTTGGGTGGGGTGGGGAGGGAGAGACCCTCCGGGAACGTGGCGATCTTACCCCCCACTCTCTCGCTGCTGCCGGGGGTGGGGGGAATAGGCCCTGGTTAATGATGATGATTTAATCATCGGCGCCTGCGGAGGCCTGGGATAGACTAATGCAGAGCAGATGCCGAAGGAGGAGGGGAAGACTGACAGCGAAGATACTTGGGCAGCGAGTGCCTGAAGTAGCATAGGCCCAGGCCCCCATTGGGTGAGGACCCCGGGGGCCTCCCGGGGCAGGTACACTGTCATCACTGCATTCTTATAGCGAGCGAAATTGAAAAATAAAAAATTTACTCTGAAGCGTTATTAGCACCGAGTACAATTGGAGATTGGAGCCAGAGGGGAGATAACCACCGGAACATTGAAATGCTTTCTGAAAAAGATGGAACTCTGTGTAGGCAATGATTGACACATGGATGAGGGGTATAAATGTGATTGAAGTAGGAAAGGAAGGTAGCATGGAGGGGACCGTTCGAGAAAATAGAAGTACTGGGCGGTAGTGGTGCACGCCTTTAATCCCAGTACTTGGGAAGCAGAGGCAGGCGGATCTCTGTTAGTTTGAGGCCATCCTTGTCTACAAAAGCTAGTTCCAGGACAGGCTTCAAAGATACGGAGAAACCCAGTCTCAAAAAACCAAAGAGAGAGATATCGGAGAAACCCAGTCTCGAAAAACCAAAGAGAGAGAGAGTTCCAAGACAACCGAGACTGTTACACAGAGAAACCCTGTCTCAAAAAAAAAAAAAAAAAAAAAAAAAGAAAGGGAGGTAGGTAGATAGATGGATAGATAGATAGATACATAGGTAGGTAGGTAGATAGATGGATGGATGGATGGATAGATAGATAGATAGATAGATAGATAGATAGATAGATAGGTAGGTAGATGGATGGATGGATGAATGGATAGATGGATAGATAGATAACAGCAAATGTACGGGTTGGGAGTGGTAGCAGAAGCACTGGGGCTTAAAAGGGTTGGAGAGATTAGACTGATGGCAACAGGTACCTGACAGAAAGGAGAGAGAGAGTGTGTGCATGTGTGTTACCCCGTGAATGGAATAAAGTGTTCTTTTCAGAATGGAGTACATAAACAGCAAGGAAGTACCAATGACTTGTTAATCAACTAATTACAGCTATGGTTTACCTAGTCCATGCCACCCTCATCACAACTCAGGTCTTGCAGGTCTCAACCACTTTCTTCCTGTCCACCACTGCTCCCGCTCCTGTCCCTTCTTCCCACAGCATGGAATAGTGATTCTGATCATAGGTTGGACAGAACACAGCGTTTCTGATGGATGTTTCGTATTTCGATTGTGGTGTTAGTTTAATGGGCATTTACATCTGTGGAGACCAGTCAGAATATACACTTTGAAAACTTGCAGCTTATTGTAAATTAGATCTCAATAGAACTGTTTAAAAAATTAAGGCACAGGCCTGTAATCCCAGCACTTATGAAGTAGAAGCAGGGGGAATCAGGAGTTCAGGGTCCTCCTAAGCTACACAGTAATTTCGGAGCTACATAAAACTGTCTCAACAACAAATACAAGCAAGCAATAAGTAAATTGTAAAATTTAGAAAATCAGATTGTGGAGCCAAGGGTGGTGGCACACACCTTCAATTCCAGCGCTCAAGGCAGAGGCAGTTGGATTTCTGAGAGTGAGGCCAGCTAGAGCTACACAGAGAGTCTCTGGAAAAAAAAAAACCTGAAAACTAAAATAAAAAAAATAGATTATGTTCAGCTGGGCGGTGGTGGCCCACGCCTTTAATCCCAGCACCTGGGAGGCAGAGGCAGGCGGATCTCTGTGAGTTCAAGGCCAGCCTGGTCTAGAAGAGCTAGTTCCAGGACAGGACAGGATCCAAAAACTACGGAGAATGCTGTCTAGAAAATCAAAATAAATAAATAAATAAAATTAGATTATGTTCTTTCCTTTTTCTGTTTAAGATATTTTAGCACTGAGGTTACAGCTCTGTAGTGAGTGCTTGTCCCAGGCTTTGGTCATCCTTAGGAACACACACACACACACACACACACACATGCACTCACACACAACTTAACAAACCTAGGGACTGGAGAGATGTCTCCGATGTTAGGAGTATTGACTGCTCTTTCAGAGGACTTGGGTTCACTTCCCAGCACCCACAAAAAGGTTTACAACAATCTGTCACTCCAGCTGCAGGTCCCATGCCCTAGCATGGCCTCCATGGTCATTATACCGTGTTTGTGGTGCACATATATACAGGAAGCAAAACCTCATGCACATAAACTTCAGAAACACAAATAAGCCCCAAACTTGATAGTTTCCCTTTTCCTTCAGAATAGAAGTCTAACACCTTGTGTGGTTTCCCCAGCCACACTGATCTCCTCGCTGTCTATTCCATAAAAACACTAAAATGGGGTCTGCTTCGACACACTGGCCATGCATGCTTCCTCCTTCTTTCAGGTCTCTTTGAGGCTTCTGGGTTCCCACTGCACAAACAATCTATTCACTTAACGTCCTTGCTTTTCTTCTTCTCCTTCTTCTTCTCCTTCTTCTCCTCCTCCTCCTCCTCCTCCTCCTCCTCCTCCTCCTCCTCCTTCTTCTTCTTCTTTTAGCACTATTAGCATTTGTTTTGTTTTGTTTTTTTGAGTTGATCTCACTATGTAGCCCTGGCTGCCTGGAACTTACTAGATAGATCAAACTTGGCTTTAAACTCTCAGGGATCCACTTGCCTTTCTCTGCCTTTCAAGTGCTGGAATTAAAGGCAAGTGCCACCACAGCAGGATCTTTTTCTTTAGATAGATAGATAGACAGACAGACAGACAGATAGACAGACAGACAGGCAGACAGACAGACAGATAGACAGACAGATAGAAAAAAGCATGGGCCTGAGGATGGCTCAGTGGTTAAGAGTTTACTGCTCTTTGAGAGGACTCAGGTTGGGGTTTCAGTTCCCAAGTCAAGATGTTCACAATCAGCTGGACGATGGTGGCGCACGCCTTTAATCCCAGCACTCGGGAGGCAGGGAGGCAGAGGCAGGAGGATCTCTGTGAGTTCGAGGCCAGCCTGGTCTACAGAGCTAGTTCCAAGACAGGCTCCCTGTCTCGAAAAACCAAAAAAAAAAAAAAAAAAAGNGGTCTCCATGGGCTCTTGCATACATGCGGCACACATAAACTTACACAGGCAAACGTGTATACCCATACATTAAACAAAGAGATCTTTTAAAAATGTAACTTAATTTGCATATGTGCATGTGCACGCTACAGTGAGCACACATGTATGTGCATGCATGTGTACGTGTAGGCCAGAGAACAAACTCCAGTGTCCTTAGGATCCTGAGGAGAGAGAGGATCCTTGAGAATGAGGTTCCGCTGACTGGCCAACAAGGCCTGTGACACTCCTGTCACTACTTCCCCAGTGCTCCCCCACAACCAGCTTTTCCCAGGGATGCTGGGGACTCCACTGAGATCTGAACATCTGCATAGCAAGTTCTTTATTGCCTGAGCTATTTCCTGAGCCCCTCTCTTTTATTTTATCCTTCCTTCCTTCCTTCCTTCCTTCCTTCCTTCCTTCCTTCCTTCCTTCCTTCCTTTCTGAAATGCTCACGGTATTATTCCAGCTGACCTCAAATTTGTGATCCTCCAGCTTCGGCCTCCTAAAGTAGCTAGAATTATAGGCACACACCACCATCTCTCTCTTTCTCTGTATTCTATTATATCGCCTTATAGAGTATATAGATATACTATTAGTTTATAGTATTTTTCTAGTTTTTAATCTGCCTTTTGTATTAGAATGTAAGTTTCCAGAGCTAAGTAGCTCCTTCCCTCTGCTATTCATATCTATAGCTCCAGATCTGAGCACATAGTGGGTGTCAGAATATTCTGCATGGCTGGAGGGACAGCTCAGCAGTCAAGAGCACTCACTGCTCTTGCAGAGGACATGAGTTCAGTTCCCAGCGCCCATATTAGGCAGATGGCAGACAACTACCTGTAGCTCTAGTTTCAGGGGATCCAACTCCTGGCCTCTAAGGGCTCCTGCGCATATTGTAGTGCATATAAAGTCAAAGAGGCAAACACACGTGGTTATAAAATTTAAAGAAAACTTTTAGAAATATTCTGAATGAACAAATGAAAGAATGTAGGTGATGGTGACAGCTTAGAGTAAGGGTTTAGCAATGGAAAGGAAAGACTATACTGGAAATGAAGCACACCTGTAATCCTAGCACCCAGAAGCAGGAAGATCAGAGTTCAAAGCCAGCTGTGGCTACAATAGCAAATTCATGGCCTGAGTTATAGAAGACTCTGTCCAAAGGAGGAGGAGGCTCCATGTTAAATTTTAAAGGAAAGTATGGCAGAAGGAAGCAGCTAGGGACCTGACTGGGTAGGCCTGGGTAAGTAAAAGGCTGAATAAGCATCTTGAGGAGTGAGCATTTCCTCCAGCCTGTTGCACTTAAGGTGGTTTCAAGAGAGAAGGGTGGAGTTGGCCAGAAAGCTAGGACAGAAGTGAGACTGGAGAGATGAGGCTCAAGTGGCAGATGGCAGTGCTGTCTGGGTGGTGTGGGAATTGAGGCCACTGGAATGGATGAAATCTGAACAGAGATAAAAGCTAAATTCAGTCCCCTGAAGTCCTCTCTGCAGCAGCAGATGCAGAGCCAACGGAGGATGGCCATATGCAGTAACAATGGAAGTCCATGTTACAGAATTTGAGAGAAGCATAATAAAACAGGGCGGGGGAGGCAGCTCAGAGGTGGGGCACTTGCCTAGATGCATGGGCCCTAGGCTCAATTCCCAGTGCTCAAAACAAAGCCAAAAATGAAAAGCGAAAGAAACCGAAATCGAAGCTAAAGGAAAGGACATCTCGAGGATTGATGAGATGGTCCAGCAGGTGAAGGTGATTGCTTCTAAGCCTGATGACCTGAGTTTAACCTCTGGGACCCACATGGTGGGAGACAACAGAGGTAGTTCTCTGACCTCCACACTCATACTGTGGTACATCTGCGCACACACACACGTGCACATACACACACAAACACACCACACCACACATGCACACACACGCGCGCACACACATGCATGCACACACACACCACACATGCACACACACACACGCATGCACACACACACGCACGCACACACACAAAATGGTGGGGGACAACAGAGGTAGTCCTCTGACCTCCACATTCATACTGTGGTATATCTACACACACACACACACACACACACACACACACACACACACACAGAGAGAGAGAGAGAGAGAGAGAGAGAACTAAAAATGTAATCTTAATTTTTTAAAGAAAAAATTAAGAAAAAAATTTAAGAAATAATTGGTTGCAAGGTGTTCCTCAGAAGGCAGAAGCAGGGGGATTCTTGTGAGTTTGAGGCCAGTCTGGTCTACAGAATAAGTTCCAGGCCAACCAGGGTTACATAATGAAACCTGCACTCCCCCCCCACCCCCCCACACCGTGCAATAAAAAAGAAGTGGTGTAGAAAAACCAATCTCCTCTGGGTTAACACAGGATAGCTGAGAAGGAAAGAAATGTAGACATAACATGGGCATGACAAGGGAAAGAGGAGATGAAAAATTCACCTGAGAAGTCAGGGAAAGACTGTCCACATGAGAAAATTCTGATATAGCTGGGCTGATGACAGACGTGGTGGCAAAGAGTTAGGACCATCTTGAAGAACAGCTAACACTAGGGAGAGGGGGAAGGGAAGGAGCCGAGGTGGGGCACTCAGCTTCTTCAAGCGAATCAGAAACTCAGGGGTAAATGTACCGGTACGATGGGACAGGCCTATAACTCAGGATCTGGCCTATAAACTCAGGATCTGGGAGGTCAAGAGGAAAAGTAGGAGGACGGAGAATTGAAGACCACTGTGGACTACATAGCAAGACGCAATCCCAAATATTAAAAGAAGGGGCAGGGGAGAAAGGAAAGAAAAACACATGTGGGGGTGTGTCACAGATGCACATGGAAGGACAGGAAGAAGCACTTACCTAGAACCTCCATCTTTAACTTGAACTAGAAGGAACCATTCAAGCAGAGATGAGGCAAGAAGAGAAACTCCTAGGTGGGGCTGGCAAAACTGGATGACCTCGGCCCTACAGTCAGGTACTAGATGGTTTCCTCATTAGCTCCCAGATGTGTGTGTACTGCCAATTGTGACCATTGTCCTCGAAAGGTCACCAACGGGTGATTGCCACCTGCGCAGACCTCAAAAGTTGAAAGCCAGGTCTTCACCACCTTGCCTGTTTCTCCGTCACTGACTCGCTCTTGGATGAGTTCGGAAGGATTTATTCAGTTTGGTAAGAGACACAGGTACTTCCCTCCTTGAAGCTCACCCTCCTGAGCACACCTGCAAGCCAGTCCCCCTGCAGGAGACTGCCTTTCTAGGCCAGGTCCCTAGACTCCCATGGAGCAGAAGGCTTTGCTTGGGGCTTCATGTTAGGAGCACCTTCCCTCTGCAGCTCAGAACAGGGAGGGTCCTGTGGAAGGTGGGAGAAGTGATAGTGTTCTCTAGGAAACATAAAAAGCACCAAAGCCAAATTGCGGCCCCCGTCCCGCGCACCCTCTGTGGCCAGTGCGGTGGGAGGAATAGCTGAAAAGGATAGAGGTGGCCAAGGTGGGAGAGGGCTCTCACACAGTACTGATGCCCTCCTGGGTCCGGAACCACTATCCTCCGTCGCCCACTCCCTCCCCCTCGCAGGCTTCTGAGAACACTGGAAAGGAGGGCCCACTTTTATCTACTTTTATGTTCCTGTCCAGATGCCCAAATATCCTGGTTCCCAGGAGAGAAAAGACCCCTTCACCCTGCCCCAGGCGCCAGGCTGCCAGCCCATCTGCTGGGAGAAAGGAGGGGCGCCTTTCCCTGGGGGATCCTGGAGAAACAACTAGAACTAGTATAGGGAGATTTACACTTGCTAGACACTTCGCTTCACGCGGGAAAGCCGCAGGGTGGAGCAGAGCTCTGAGGTGGGCAGGGGTGAGGGTCCAGGCTTGGCAGAGCGGGGCGGGGTCTTCTGGCCAGGATGTATCCAAGGCAAGCTGAGCAGCTCCTCCGTGCCCACCCGCTGCCCCCCTCCCCGGGCCCAGTCTCACCGGCTCGGAGGCGCCAGGGCCCCCCCTAGGGCCGGGGCGGGCTGGGGAAGGTAATGTAATTCCGGCCCAGCTAACCCGATTATGGCGGCCTGCACCGGGCAGGGTGGCGGCGGGGGCGTGTCTTCGGCTTAGGGGCCCGCCCGGCAGGGGTCCCATCCAAGAGAGGGACACGGAGGTCACACACTCTCAGCTCTTGGGTCCGCGCCCAGAGGTCACAAGGTCACCGAGTGCTTCGTCCTTCCCCCCACTCTCCTTGGCTGGCAAGCTTGGCTGAGCCTTGGGTGGGGAGAATTATCTGTAGGGTGCGGAGCGGGGAGCCTCCCAAGGCCTAAGCGAGTCCCCAAGAGAAGGGAGGAGAGTGTGTGAGGATAGATTTCCGAGATGCAAAATAGAGTGGAATCCCGCGGTGGGGGCCCGGGTTGGTCCATTTGAGACCTGGGTCCGATTTACAGCAATTTCAGAAAATCGAAATTCAAAGAAACAGGGCACCGATTCCTGGCCGGCCAGAACCAGGGTGAGGAGGGCTACAGGAAAAGCCAGGAGGTGTGCCACAACCCCAAGTTCAGATGTTCATTCCCTGCCCGAGCCCACCAAACACGCCCTGTCACCGTCTGCTTCCCACACCTGGCCTCTTCCTGGGACTCCAGGTCGCGGATCGCCGTCCCCCAGCCGCTTCTTACATAGCCAGGAAGCCACAACGAGATTTGGTCTCAGAGGGCATTTGGGTAGGGGCCACAACGAATCCAGTAGCTGGCCAGCGGCACCCATCGGGAGGCGAAGGGGGGGGGCTGGGGACAGAAGCACCAGCCGAGGAACCCGCGAGGTCGAGGCAGCCCGAAGGCGGAGGCCGGCGAGGATGCGGGCGCACGAGCATCCCGGCTGAGTCAGCGGCCCCTCCCGCGCACCGCGCCTTCCTGACACCCGCGCCCTCCTCTGCCCTGCCTGCGCCTGGCACATCCAACCATCCCTTTCCCTTTAACAACAGGGCCCCGCCCCTGCCCTCCCCCAGCCCCTTCTGCCCACCCGAGGCCGATCTGTCAGTCACTGCCCCTGCCTGAGCTGGCCACCCTTCTTCACACCGGACTCGGGCAGCGGCCTGGGTAGCCTAGTGTCCACCTGCGCTCCCGAGACCCCCGCCCGCCACGCTCCTCCGGGATGCGAGTCCCTTCGCTGACGCCCGGGAGGGGCGGGCACGCGCGCGGCTGCGCCCGGTGCACAGGGATGCTGCTGTCCCGGGGGCCCCGTCGCCCGGCTGTGGCCACCCCTGCCGGCCCCTGAAGCCGCTGGCCGGAGCGCGCCGCCGCCGGGCTCCCGCAGCCGTCAGAGACACCCTTCCTAGCCATCTAGCCTCCGGGTCCTCTCTTTTGGATCCATGGAGCCGGCGGTGTTGGCTCCGCACCACCTACCGCACCACGAACCCATCAGCTTCGGCATAGATCAGATCCTGAGCGGTCCCGAACCCCCGGGGGGCGGTCTGGGCCAGGGTCAGGCGGGCCAGAGCCACGGGGAGAATGCAACGTTCTCGAGTGGATTCCACGGAGCCTCCGGCTACGCTCCGGCCGGCTCATTGGCCCCGTTGCCCAGAGGCTCGGGAGTGGGCCCGGGCGGCGTGATCCGTGTCCCCGCGCACCGCCCGTTGCCGGTGCCGCCACCCTCGGGAGCGGCCCCCGCGGTGCCCGGACCCTCGGGTTTGGGCGGCGCCGGGGGCCTAGCGGGACTCACCTTCCCCTGGATGGACAGCGGCCGCCGCTTTGCTAAGGACAGGCTTACGGGTGAGATTGCCCAACCCCTTGGTGTTCTTCCCTCTTAGACCCCGTTTCTTCGCTCTTAGCTTTCTGCCCCAACTCTCTTACCCCTTTCTCCCTCCCTCTCTGCTCATCCCCGTGAAACCTCCGCGACCCCACATTTCTCGGTCCCACAGAGGAGAGGAAGTAAGGAGAGAGCTGCTGTCGTCGGGTGCATGCGCCCTTCCTCTGCAGTCCTACCGTGCCCACTGTAAGGAGGGACAGAGTGAAGTTTGGGAGGGACCCCATTCTTCCTAGGTCCCTTCTTGAACCGATGCCTCAGTGGATGCGGGGGGGCCCCAGTAAGGACTAGGGGCTCTCTTCTTAGTGTCACCTCGGACCACCCCCAAACTTTGCCCTGCTCTTCCGCCCCATAGCTGCGCTCTCGCCCTTCTCTGGGACACGTCGCATAGGCCACCCCTACCAAAACCGGACCCCCCCGAAGCGCAAGAAGCCGCGCACCTCCTTTTCCCGCTCGCAGGTGCTGGAGCTGGAGCGCCGCTTCCTGCGCCAGAAGTACCTGGCCTCGGCAGAGAGGGCGGCGCTGGCCAAGGCCCTGCGCATGACCGACGCGCAGGTCAAGACCTGGTTCCAGAATCGACGCACCAAGTGGCGGTGAGGCGAGGGGCGCGGGCGGGTCGAGTGGCGGGGAAGGGGCTCTCCGCCACTCTGACCCCGGCTCTCCGCTCGCCCAGGCGTCAGACGGCTGAGGAGCGCGAGGCGGAGCGGCACCGTGCGGGTCGCCTGCTGTTGCACCTGCAGCAGGACGCACTGCCCCGGCCGCTGCGGCCGCCGCTGCCCCCGGACCCGCTCTGCCTGCACAACTCTTCGCTTTTCGCGCTGCAGAATTTGCAGCCCTGGGCCGAGGACAACAAGGTGGCTTCGGTGTCCGGACTCGCCTCGGTGGTGTGAGCGACCCCTTCCCGAGGAGCGCTACCGCGGCTATGTGCGGTGCCGCCAGCGGAGCGTGCGGAGCAGAAGGCCTGCGACTGTCCTCCGAGGCTCCTCGGCCACCAAGCGGCCCCTGTCCTGCACTTTGACTCTGCCCTTCCACTGCATTTTTGGACCCGCTGGAACTTGGGTCGCGAGGGCAACCTGCAGGATGTAGTAAATGGGGCACGGATGCTGCCATGCACTTGCGATTCTGCCCAGAGTGGGCTCAGAGCTCAAGTTCCACTGGGAAGGGGCCACTGAGCTGGTGTGAAGGAAGATCTCAAGGACATCGGGGTAATGGAAGAGGTGTTGGTGCGCGCGCGCGACTGTGGCTGACTGTGACAGGGACCAGATTGTCCACCTCATCCCCTCAACGGTAAAACAATCGCTAAGGATTCCTTCTTGACTCAGTCTTACACGTTGTCATGCGTCTAACCTGCGGGCCACTCCCCCATCTTAAGAGTCACACTGCACCTATACTGTAGGTAAGATAGCTACTTACATACTCAAAGGATAAAAATCTAGGAGAATCTGGTTCCCGTGCCATACAGGGTCAGAGAACCAAGAGGAGAAGCCAGTGGACAGTTTATGGGTCCAGTGTTAGAGTGACCAAGGTGTACTTTGGGACTGGCAAACCTAAGAATCCAAAACTGGCAATGTGGAGGTCAGGAAGTCTGGTGCTGTGGACCAGGAGGGGAAACGGGGAACCTGTGGCAAGATTAACTGTAGGGAAAACTAATGCTAGATCTAGAGAGAAGATTCCGGATGCCTGCCTTTGGGGGAGCTCTCTGACAGCACAGGGGTGAGACCAGGATCTCCAGGAGAGAGAACTCTGGGGTTCCAGGGATTAAACCTTTCTTTTCACCATATTCCACAGATACATTTACAATGTGTAGGATGGTGCTGGCTTAAGAAATGAACAGACTAAGGGCGGAGGGAAGGAGTACCCAGACAGAAGGAAAGCACGACACCTTTTAGATAGAAAGAGGAGATGGCTTAGCAGGCTAAGACACTTGCCCCTATTCCTGACTGAGTTTGAGCCTTAGGACCAACCTGCTGGAAGAAGAGAACTAATTTCTACAAATTGTCCTGTCCACCTTATGTGTGTTATGGCATGCTTGTGTACACACACACACACACACACACACACACACACACACACACGATGTAATGAAAAATCAGAAAGGCTTCAGAGTATAGGTGAGCCAAAGGCTACCGCAGGCTTTCTGATAGTCAGTCGGTGGGAGGATTGCAAAGCTTTCTGGTCTAAAGGGGGTACTTTGTCTCTTTCCAGTATTCCCATCTTGCTTCTGGCAGAGACTGGAACACTGTGACAAGGACAGAGACCTATGGTAGCCATACCACTCATGTTCTGTGCTAATGACAGCTATGCAGGCTGCACAAAGACTTGGTCTGAGGTGGAAAGGGGGAAGAGGCTGCACCTGCAGAGGTCGGTGTCATTTCTAAAGTGTCATCTCTAACTCATAGATGTTGTATACGGCACTGGAGAACCAAACTCAAACTCGGCATCATAGGACAAGCTTTTATAGCCCCTAGGAGAGTGCAAGGTTGTGTGGAGTGAGCAGTGTTTGCTCCTTTGCTGGTGGACAAAGGGGGAACCTGCGTCCTTCTGGACCGTGGCTCCCGTTTCCTCCCCACCCACTGTGTCTTGGATCTTGGGTTCCAGGAGTATATTTGACTTTGGGTTTCTAAGACTGGCCGACTGCCTTGGTGCTGTGCGGTGAGGTTGGCTCCATTCCTTAGGCAGCTCACTGCAGAACACAGCCATCCCCATATTCCCGGGGAGAGGAAGATTCAGGCTCTGCTGCTGGCTCTGCCGCAGTTCCTTCTCTCAGCTGATTCAGGAAGTCTCTGCTCTCACTGGGGGGTAAGTTACTCAGGAAGTATGGAGGGGCTAGCTCCACCAGCCTGTGGGAGAAAGTCAGAATGAGATCCTATGTGTCTCCCCTCAGCCCCCTTCACAAACCCTCTTCTTAAGCCCCCCTCCCAGTGTTAGGTTTGGTGAGTGGGGGTCAGGAAACTCACATCTGAGGTTGAATCTCAGAGACGATGTAGAGGCAGTTGTCTTTGGATATGGAGAAGCTGTGGTATAGCACCCAGGCAGGTGGGGGGGCCCTGCGATTTCGGTAGCTGCAATATGAAGACAGCTGGGCTACGTGGTTGTGGGTGAGAAGCAGGTAATTTCCAGCTCCGTCTATGTCTTGGGCCACCTCATTGAAATACAAATATATGGATGGAATAAGTAACAGAACATAGGGGGAAAAAAGAAAGAAAGGAAAAGAAAAGGAGGCCAATGCTGGGTGTGGCGGCACACGCTGTAATCTGAGCATTAGGGACGCAGAGGCAGAAAGAGCAGGAGTTTGTGGCCAGCCTGAGCTACACAGGAAGTCTGAAGTCAGCTTGGACAGCATGAGACCCTGCCTGTCTCATCATTGCCTTTAAGAAGAGAGGAGAAGAGTCACACTTTTAATCCCAGCACTTGGGAGGCAGAGGCAGGTGGATCTCTGTGAGTCTTAGACCAAGGCTACGTAGGAAACCTGTCTTGAAACAAAACAAAACAATCAAACAAACACCCTCCTCCCCCATACACATACAAGGAGAAAAAAAAGGGAAGAAATGAGGGAAAAAAATGAGAGAGCCTGAAAGGATTAAGAGTATTGTGGAGCCTAAAAGTGAATCTTCAGTTGTGGTCTGGTCCTTGCTTCACCATATGGCATTTTCCATGGCCCCTTGTCCTCTAAACCCTCAGATTCTTAGTTCTGAGAAATCATGTGTGTTTGTCTGTGTTCATGGAAATACGTGTGTGTGAATCTTCAGGTCATTCCTCAGGTGCCACCCACCGTTTTGGAAAGTGCCAACAGGCTAGGGTGGCTGCTAGACAGCCCCAGGGCCCCCCCGAGAGTCTCTACCTCCCCAGTAGCGGAATTACCAATGAACCCATAGTTCTTGGGACCAAATCTATCCCTGAGACTGAAGCAAGGTGCTTAGCCTATTCAGCTCTTCCCCTAGACACCCTCCCAGGCCTTTGATCTTTTCCCTAAAATTAAAATAATATTTATTTATTTTATTTTATGTGTATGAATGTTTTGCCTGTACATACATATGTATGCACACCACATGCCTACCCTTGAAGGTCAGAAAAATGTCGAATTCTCTGGAATTGGATTGAGGATGAACCTGGGTTCCTTGGGGCCTCTGGGGAGCAATAAGAGTCTTTAACGGTTAAGCTCACCTTCCAGTGCCCTCACTCCTTTTGGAGACAGAATCTCACTATGTAGCCCTCGCTGTCCCAGAACCTACTCTGTAGACCAGGCTGGCCTCAAACTTAGAGAGCTCTGCCTGCCTCCGGAGTGCTGGGATTAGAGCTGTGCCCCACCACGTGGGGCAAAGCTCCCTTCATTCTATCATGTTCCCTTCCGCCCCCTCCCTAACCTTGAGGAAGAATCCCGACAGCAGGGCTTTCTGAAGGTCTCTGCGGTTCTGCTCGGAGCCAAAGGCAGGCTGAGACAGGGGAAGCTCAATCTGTTGCATGAGTTCCACAAGCTCTGCTCGGAGTTTACGGGCTTGGCACAATGCGGCCCAGTTCAGACCCCGAGCTTGACACCAAACCTCATCGGCTCCATCTAGGAGAAGAAAAGAAACAGCTATGATTAAGTCCTTCAGACTGGCACAAAGAATGACCCCCGGCAGAGGGCCTCCTCTTCCTGCACACACAGAGAGGTCTGCTGGCTGACTGGGTATTTCCTGGGAGTCTTTGAGGGTGTAGAGTGAGCCACTTACTTTGTACAAAGGCTTCATAAATCTGGATCAGCGAGCTGTGATCGCCATCTGCATGTTCCAGGGCCCGACGCAAGGCAGCTTCTTCTGCACACAGTGGAGGTCCCGTAAACCCAGGAGCAGCTGGAGGCGGAGCAGGAAGGTGGTTGGAGAGGAACCAGGAATGACAGCAGCACAGACAGACTACTGAAGAAGCGGGAAGCGGGAGTAACCCTTCGGGAGCTTAATTTAAAAGAAAATAGATTCCTGGGTGCTCTACTCTGGAGACGGCTGCAGCCAGCCCTCTACAGCCAAGGCTCTGCATCTGGGGATTCAACCAACTGCCGACCGAAAGTATCCAGAGAAAACTGCATCTCTAGAGGACATGCAGATTGTCCTTTGTTGTTATTTCTTAATAACGGAAGGGTACCATTTGCATAATGTTTGCACACAGTCCAGGGTACTGTCAGTGACCTGGAGGCTATGCAGCAGCAGCAGAGGATACAGGAGAACAAGCACAGGTTATGTTCAAGCACTCCAGCATTTTATCCCAGAGACTGAAGCAGTCGTGGGCTATGGTATCCACAGGGAGTCCTGGAACCCATCTCCCACAGATACTGGTGGCTGGAGGTGCAAGTCTTTGCCTTTAAGGAGATTAGAATCTGGTAGGAGGAAGGTCGGGCAGATGAAACTCAGTGGGGTACTTGCTGTATAAGAATAAAGGCTTGAGTCTGAATCCCCACCACCCACATAAAACAAAAACCAACCAAACAAACAGAAAAAACGACATTGCTACCTGTGCCCGTAACCCCAGAACCTAAGAGGCAGAGACAGGCAGATCGGGGGGAGCTTGCTGTCCAGTCAGTCTAGCAGAAAATGAGCTCCTTCCTCTGGCCTTTGCGTGCAAGGACACTGATGCATCCACACACACACACCCGCCCAAGTCTGGTAGGAGGGTTCAACAAGGAAGTGGAAGAGTAAGAAAAACAAGTGTGTCTGGCATTCCGGAAGAAAAGAGAAGGTGAGCTGATCCAGGCTCTGGTGGTGGAAATGAGGGCAAAGTGGGAGAAAAGCCCCAGCTCTTTGAGTCAGCGTCAGAAGTGTGAGGGGAGAGGGACAGAGGGACCATTTGAGACTGCGGGACGGCATGGCACAGAGGTTAATGGCATGGCTTATTTGGAGCACTAGAAGCCATCTGGTTTGGGTGGGACGAGTGACACGTGGCAGAGGGGCAAGGGAAGCTGGGGAGGTCTGGGTAGTCAGGTGCAGAAGAGTAGGCACAGTCTAGGAGGCAGAAGAGCTCCGAGGAAGGCTAAAGTAAGAAAGTCCAAGTGTCGTCCACGTGACTGGTTAGGAGCTCAGAGCAGGAATCCAGCTGAGCAGGGAGGAGGATCCCACACCGGCGTTGGCCGTGATTACGCAGCAGGAGCTAAAAGGAAAACTCTAGAGGCGGATGAGCACAGGGGAGTGGTAGGATTATCAGAAACAGAACAGAGAGGGAAAGACAGGTAAGGGCGGGTGGGGGCAGAGTGCCCAAGCTCAGTTCTGAGCTGAGACGCTAGGGACTAGTCTAGCAAAGATACTTATTAGGAAAGCCAGGAATGTGGCGCATGTCCGGAACCCTACTACCTGGGAGACTGTGGTAGGAGGAATGCTGCAAGCTTGAGACTAGCTTGGGATATACAGTGGATTTCAGGCCAGCCTGGGCTACAGAGGAAAACCCTGTCTTAAAAAAATAAAACTGGGCCGGGCAGTGGTGGTTTGTTTGTAATAATAACTTTCAAGGACTAGGAATTTACAATATATTGTTAAATGAGCTGTATAGGTATAGTGCTTTGAAGAAAAATAGAAATGCATGTACAGTAAGAGTAGTTTCTAACAAAAATGACGATAATTTTGTATCAATATAACAAAACATCTTAGGCCGGGCGGTGGTGGCGCACGCCTTTAATCCCAGCACTCGGGAGGCAGAGGCAGGAGGATCTCAGTGAGTTCGAGACCAGCCTGGTCTACAAGAGCTAGTTCCAGGACAGGAGCCAAAACCATAGAGAAACCCTGTCTCGAAAAAAATAAATAAATAAAAAAAAAATAAAACGGGGGTTGGAGAGATACTCTTCCTGAGGTCCTGAGTTCAGTTCCCAGCAACTACGGTGGCTCACAGCCATCTATAATGAGATTTGGCGCCCTCTTCTGGTGTGCAGACAGAACACATGGTCAGAACACTGTATACATAATAAATAAATAAATAAAAATCTTTTTTAAGATCACACACATACACACATCCCTGCCACCTGGACTCCTGAGTTTGACCCTCAGAACCCATATATTAAAAGCCCTGGCTACTACTTGCAGAGGACCTGAGTTTGGTTCCCAGCAGTTACATGTGGCTCACAATCACCTAAAATTCCAGGTGTGTGTGTGTGTGTGTGTGTGTGTGTGTGTGTGTGTGTGTGTGAGAGAGAGAGAGAGAGAGAGAGAGAGAGAGATCAGATGCCCTCTTATGGAACCCACAGGTACTGCATGCTGTGATGTAGAGATAAGAGATGGATACACATAAAAATAGAATCTTAGGGGGGTAGTCTTCAGGAGTTGAATGT